CCCTCTTCTCAGCACTGCCACCGCCCACCCCGAACGTAGCCCCGGCCCAACCCCCCACACTGGGGAGAGCCTGGCACCACCCCTGACCCCACCCTGCAGCAGCAGCAGCCTGACCTCGCCCCATGCAGATCTGGGGGCATGTCCCCCCATGCCCTCCCAGGGTGCACATAGCAGTAGGAGCTGCCCCACTCTCCACTTGTGGCTCCATCCCAGTTGTGCGGGGCCTGCCACTGTGGCCTTGATCTGCCCCCCCATGCCCCTTTCCTCACACAGACTTATCAGCCAGACCTGGCTACTTTACATGCTGCCAGGCTGTGCTCCTAGCTGCCTACATGCTGCGCTGTGACTGCACATGCACGGAGCATTTATTGGCCTCTTTATCAGCCACATCAACCAAAAAAAAGGTGATTGCCGATACTATCACTTTTCCTTATATTGGTGCCATTCTCATATGGAACTGATGTATCAGTGCACCTTTAGTAAGTAGTAGTGTTACTGTATGTGAATAGTTATTCCACAGTGGGTCCTGACCAATGGTCCATCTAGCCCAGTACCTTCTTTCTGACAGTGGCAAGTAGTAAATGCTTTAGAGAGAGAGTTTATACGAACACGGCATGTATAGAGTGATCCGTCCTGTTATGGCCTCCCTGGTACCAACCATCATTGGTTTAACAATGTCAGAAGATATATCCCTGACTTTAATTTAATAGCGCCCAATGGACCTGTCTTCCATGAATTTGGCTAATCCTTTTTTGAACTTGGTTATACTATCTGCCTCTTTAATCAAGTAAGACTAAGCTGTGATATCGTTCAGGGAGTTTTTGTTTTATATCTTATTTTAATATTCTACCTGCTTTTATTAGTTTTCTCTCTTATTGTAAGCTGCCCTGAGCCATCGTTGGAAAGAGCACTGTGTAATAAAAGTGATTCCTCTGGTTTATTTTAAACTTGCCTATTAATAATGCTTATTTCAGTGGGTGCCCCCTAGTTCTTGTGTTCTGGGACTTGGTGAATTACAGTTTCCTATCCACTTTATCCATACTTTTTATGATTTTATAGATTTCTATCACGTCCTCCCCTCAGCCCTCTCCTTTTCAAACTGGCAAGTCCCAGCCTTTTTTAATCTGTCCTGTACAGCAGCTACTTCATACCCCTGACCATCTTAGTTGCCTCTGTACTTTATCTGCTTCCCGTTTATTCTTTTAAGATGTGGAGAACAGAATTGAACTTGGTATTCAAGATGTGGATGCACTATGGATTTACACAGTGGCATAACAATGTTTTCAATTCCCTTCCATTCTTAATGATTTCCAACATTTTATTGTCTTTCTTGGATCCTGCTGCACATCATGCCAACATGTTTAGAGAGCTATCTACAGTGACTCCAGGGTCCTTTTCCTGAGTCATAATGGCTAGTTTGGAGCCCAGATTTGTGTATGTAACAATGATATACATAATAATAATGATACGTTTAAGGTGGGGGGGTTGTATATAGACAAACCTTAAGCCACTCTAAAAGACTAAGCAATGTGAAGAAACCCCATAACCTCAAGGTTTCGAGTAGCCCTTGTTTTCACTGTTTGAGGTATCACTGTTATCAGGGTCATCAGAAATTCCACCGTCTCTAACTCCTACATCCTCTCTATTTTTCTTCCTTCTCACTTGTTTCCCTTGCTAATTGCCTTATTTTTATATTGCAGTTTGTATCTCAAGGAGCCAAGAAATAGCTGAACACAAGCCATATGTGCAAAGCCTTGTCAGTGGCTTTAGAGTTTCTTTATTCTGTTTAATTTTCCAGCCATCACAGTGTGAAGCCCTCCTTACTCCTCCTCCTGTCCCTCTACTGAGGGACTTGGTTTAGCTTCTGCCAGCTTTTAAACAAAAGGGCATTGATATTTAAGAGATGTCCTTCTGCATTAGGTGGACGGTAGCTCATGTTGTGGGTGGCTCGCATTAAGTTTCTGCAGCTTAGAAAAAAACAGTTTCTTTGGAAGGGTGGTGCAGTATTTCTGTGAACTGGCTGTACTACTGCTGAACTTTTCAGAGTTAAATGCTTCTGATCAGCAGCAAGGATGTTGCCTATATTTTGGCTTTCTCTAGAGGGTCAGCAGCTGTAGGCTGTGGGAGAGGAAACCTGTGTGTTGTGTGTGTCAGGGGCTGTTTTCCTTACAGCCCTGTGGGGTGCTGGTGTTTGGAAGACCACACTTGGTGAGATCTTGGAAATAAACACAGAGGTGCAAAGCAGTCATTAGAGCATAGCTTGTTCTCACCTCATGTAGTTCTTATGTGTATTAAACTACAGTGAAGGGCAGGTCAAATTCACGAGCCATATTTCCAACTCAGCCTATAAATGTCACTGGCTGCTGTTGTCTTTGGGAATTGATTCAGTACCAGAGTTTAATGGCTTAACTCAGTACCAGAGTTTAATGGCTTCAGAAATTACCAGGAAAATGCAGCTCTCTATAAGGGATAACTAATGACAGGGCAAAATCTGTATCCTTCTCCACATGGGGGGAACTGTCAAGTTTGTTGTTCTCTCCCTGGACCTTGAGCTGGGTTGGTAGTGGAAGTGAGTAGTCAGGAGTTCTTATGTTGTCCATCTGCAAAAATGATGTTCTTACGTGTACTCTCTGTGCAGCCCTTACCATCAGTTACCACTCCCAAATATATTTCGTCTTTAGATGCCATCCCTCTAACTTTTCCATCACATGCAGTCTTGCCTGCTGGCTCTGCTAGATCTGATTTTTGCCCAGTCATATGACTGAGCTTGGTTTTGGTCCCTTTGTGTTGTTTTCAGGCCAAAGAATTTCTGGAATGTTGGGCTGGAATAGAAAGCTTACATTTAAAAATGTATCTGTGGTCAGAGGTTTCCTAGGTTAGTGAATTAGAGTCCCACTGCTGACTTCAGTAGGCATAGGGCTGGGTTCTTAATTTGAGTTAGCACTGCTGCTTTCTGTTTAGAGCCTTAAAGGGAGCTTGGTTTCATACTCTCTTGGCATGCTGGTATTGGATTTATGTTTGCTGAAGTGCTGTCATTCTTGTCTGTGATTCATAGTGTCTGAGGTTCAGGTACCATCCCAGGCTTTGTGGGCATTTATACACGTGCTCCCAGGAGGATGTGGGCCGGGGGAGAGGGCTCTTTAATTAGAGCAGGTCCAAGAGCCACTCTAAATCGCCCAGAGTGTCATGTGCATCAGTGTTTCTGTACTGAAAAATGGCAGCAGAGGTGTTTTAACTAAAGCTCCTTGAGTGAGCTTTAGTTAAAGCATCCCCACCACCTTTTTTCAGCACAGAAACGCTGATACAAGTGACACTGGAGTCTGGGATGCTAACACATGATGCTGGAGTCTGCTGAAGTGCAGTAATTACCACGTTCCAGCAGACTTGATTAATTGAGTTTGCTCCAATGTGCTGTAATTAGAGTGCATTGGAGCAGCCTCAATGCCTACGTATAAGTAGATACCCTGTGTTCATGACTTTGTCATATAGACCAGTGGGAGCCAACCTTTTTGGCAGGCATGCCACAAATTAGCCTTCCACACTTCCCAGGTGCCACACTGATCCCTTTCCCCTACCCAGTCCACAGCTCTGCTTTCTGCTCCCTGCCCTGTGCACCCTGCTCCATCTGCTACTCTGCTCTCTACTTCCTGCTTTGTGCCTCCTGTCCAATTTGCTGCATTGTTTTATACTTCCTGTTTCATCTGCTGCTGTGCTGCTTGTTCCTTCCCCAGACTGGCATACAGAGAGGCTGCACATGCCACATGTGGCACCTGTGCTACAGGTTGGCCCTGCCTGGTGTAGAACATTTAAGTGCCTCTTGCTCCTCTTTCTGGAGGCTGTTCCAAATGGAAGCTAAAGATTTGCTGGTATTGGAAGAGGACAGGACAGGAAGAGTAAAGGGAAAATGCAGTGTCCTCACCAGCAATTCAACGTGTCACAATAAAGCGGTAGGAGGCAGCATGTCTGCTGTGTTTGCATAGCCATTTACGTCACTGCTCACAAGTTAACTCATGATTTGAGATAGATGAGTATGACACACGTTATCTAAAGCCTAAATCTCATGTTATCCAACACAGTGGGAGAAATGCACAAAGCAATAGTTACACACAGTCACTAATGCTACTGTCAGTAGAGCTGAACCTGCTATCACACCATTTCAGAAAGTGAAAACTCGGGCTTATAGGCTGGATCCTCAATAATGGTAGGGACTCCTAGTGGCTGGATGAGTATGTTGGGAATTATTTAGAAACATCTTAAGTTAAACATGTGCTAACTAGTGTGAAATGTCTTCCAGTTTGTGGATGAAGCTGTTTAAAGATAAGGGAGGCTCGAAGAGGGTATGTTCCCAGACTCATAAGCTGTCCATAATGACCCACTGAACCATGTAAAGCTGTCACCCTCTCAGGTTTGGGATGAGTTTGCATTTGTGTAGCAGCAGCAGTAGCACACTGACCTGCATTTCTGTTGCCTGTTTCCTCTTATTTTATTTTTCTCTGTAGATTAAAATCTACATCCATTCAGGAAAAAATGGCAATCAGGTCGGCTTCCCTGCACAACTGGGTTTGGGCAGAAAGGCAGTTTATCTAATGTACGCTACAAAAGCTGGCTCCAACTACCTTCTCTTCCATACAGGTAAGGCTTGTTACTGGCTGCATTCTACAGACAACCACACACATGGTACTGAGCAGTCCTTTTGGAAGGGTATTTGCTGAAATATAACTGACTTGAAAGTTTAGCTTCAAGTTTATAAAACAGCCATTTGAGCTTCACAGGCAAAGGGAGCCCTGTTGCTGAAAATAAGACTGATTATGAACTTGGTGAACTCTCCTTGACATGTAGGCAGTGTGTGTGAAGTAAGCTGGTTTGTGCTTTCCAAAGATTGACACATGATTTCTGAGGAGAGGAGGTGGTTTAGAACAAAGGTATCAAACTCACCCAAGGGTCCTGGCCACACCCATGGAGCTGCATTTGGGCAGCAGTGTTGGTCCAGACCAGGCAGCAGCATGGGTCTAGAGGCATGTGGCTGCATGCAGCCACATTCATGCAGCGTAGAACCAGGTGGCTTATGCCTATGAGGAGCCAGGGGCATGTGACAGTGTATTGCTCTGGCCAGGCAGCAGCACACAACTAAGGCTGTTCAGCATTGTGAACCATGTTCGGTCAGATCTTCATACTGCTGCACAGCCCTGGCTCCTTGCATGCCTCCAGCTCATATTGCATAAACACAGCTCTGTGCAGCTACATGACCCTGGAACTGTGTGCTTCTGTATACCCCTGGCGCTGCCAACCAGCCAGAGCTCTGTGCCACCAAGCAGCAGCACACATTCATGTGGCTATGCAACCCCGGCTCCATTCATGCTGTTCTCCCATGGCGTGGAGCTGTCTGGGCATGCAGCAATGTGGAGCTGAGGAGCAGTGCAATTTTGGTAGCCCACCGGTCTACTGGTGGGCCAGGTGCAGTGGTTCTGTGGGTTGGACAAAAGCCAAAGTAATTTTCCATTTTCATTCTGTTCTCTCTCTGCACAGTAAATTCTCTCTATGGCTACTCCTTGAAGGATCTCTACAGTATGGCAACTGGAATGGAACCTAAATTAGTCAGCCTTAAGCAAGATCCTCAATGGGAGAAGAAGATTGAGAGCAGCTCACATCACATTTCCCTTCTCAGGTAGCAGCAAGACAGCTCTCTTGTCTTGTGATTGAATTGGAGGGCTCAAAGTCTGTTTAAATTGCTAGCAGGAGATGGGGGGGCCGGCGTTGTTTGTCAGAGAATTCTTTCCAGTGTTGTTTCTGACTTGCCCAAGAGCCTGTCTGTGTACCACAGTGAGGAGGAGGCAGAAGGCATTGTCTCACTGAGAGACAGCAAGGTGAAAGGGATATAATTGTGTAAGCTTGCGTAGGGGAAAGTGTAAAGACCAGAAAAGACCTGGGAGCTAGAGGGGAGAGGCCTGAATTTGAGAGAGAAGTCAAACCTAAGCAGAAAATACTCCTATCCATGAGATATCTGTCAGGCTGTGGCATTGCCTAGCAAGGGAAAAAGTGGAAGCCCCAAACAACAGGGACTTCTATACCTAGGCAAGACAAAGCCTTGTGAAATTCCCTGCTCATCCCATTCCTGTGCACTGGCCCAGAGATATGGACTGGGCAGTGTAATGTATTCTCCATTTCTGATTTCTGTGGTTTTTACCAAGTTTCAGGCTTGGGATACTCCAGTTCAAATTTGCTTAAACCAGGGATCAGCAAACATTTAAGTAGGGTGGGATGCCACTATCACCCAGTTGCCAATTCCTCCGGCCCCCTGTCACTGCAGGCTGGATGTAGCCCGTGGGCTGTAGGTTGCCAACCCCTGATTTAAGACTAAAATTAGTTGATACAAGTGAGATACTGCCCACAAGACACAATTTATTGCTGTCAGCAAACTGCATTGTGGCTGTTCCTGTCTCTGCAAGCCTTCAAAATCCAGACCTTTGCCAATTGAACCAGCCTTCAGATCCACAGCTTTTTAAACTCTTGTGCCAACATATGTGTGCTCATTCCTCAGCAGGCTCATTTTCAGTTCGCTATACAGATGTCCACTTCTGTACACTCACACTAAAATACACTTAACTCTCAGGCCTCAGCTACACTTAGATAAATTACTTATGGATAACTGTAATGACAGTCATGTGATTTGGACTTGAATAAAGCATGAGTTCAGAGTTAAGGTTGTGTGTTTGAGTGCACAAGTAGATTGGGAGGAGCTGACTGGGTGTGTAGTGCTTCAGGGAACAAGTTAAATTTTCCCTAATGTAGTTCTTGTCAGACCTTCTTTTGACAAGACCTGAACTTCTAAGTAGTAACAAAAAGCTTTCATGGAGGGTTGAGAAGGGAGCACTTCCAGATTATAATGATCCATCGGAGAGAAACAAAGGGGGCAAACCAAACATTCTCTGCTCTAACAGTCACCTGCACTGGACAGAAACCAAAGGTTTTTTGTTGTTTGTGTGCAAGGGAAGGTTTCATTTGCTTTCAGCCAACCTTTTGTAATGTGACATGATGAGCTGCTGTCTGTGGAAAGAGAGTTTCTAGTTGCATAAAGAAAGTGGGCAACCAGCAGCCTGTGCTTCCCAAACATCAGATTCAGCAGAGCCTGACATTTCCTCATATAGCCTTAGTTCTTTCTGGCTGGGATGAGAGCCTTTGATTCCTCCATGGTGCACAGCAAAAGTAAATTGTCATTCTCCATTTGGAAAGTTCAATTGTTTTTTGCCATGTCCCCTCCTTGTGTAGCTCTGGAGACATTCGTTACATGGTGAAGCTTCCCAGGAGATCAGGGGAGGATATCTTGGTTGTGAAGTCAGATATGGCTGAGCTGCTCAGTGGACAAAATCTTGAATCCCTATGGACTCTCAACACATCTCATATTCTGAGGTAATGCTTGCTGCTGTAGGAGTGAGATGGAGTTGTTCCAAGAGTTTGCCCATAACACCCGACATAATAGTGAAACACAAAGCCTCTCTTATGTGAAGTTCACATTTCATCTATGAACGTGTCACATGTCCTCTGTTTGCAAAGTTGGTTACCACAAAAAGGAAGAGCTTGAAGCTCTGCAGTGTTTCTAGAGAGCATGGAAAGCTTATCCTTCTCCTGCAGCCCGGCATGCAGCATGCCAGAGGAGGTGCTGTGGTACTTCTAGAAGTCATGGCATTGGCTGTGTTCCTTCTCCCTTTCAGGTCTCCATTTGTTCTGTTCCCAGACTCACCAGACTGCTGTCTCCATGGCTCTGTCATAAAATGCCATGCTTCAATTCATGGCTGTTCCATGTGGAGGGAATCTGGCCTGTTCCCCAGGGTGTGCCATGGAGGGGGGTGGTCATACCTCATCTTCCCTGACCACTGTTATTGGCTACATGACCTTCCCTTATTATACAAGTACTTTCCCTCCTAAGGTCACAGCTCCCACAAGAGAGGAGTAGAATGCAAGTGCAGCTTTGGCAGCTTAAGGAGCAAAGGGTCTGGCCCAGATGGTAATGTGGAATGTTGAAGGCAGCAGTCTGAGCCAGGGAGGCAGTAATGAGGTCTCTCACTGCAGCAACTGCTGTGAGAGCACAGACAGATAAAAAAGGACGCACTAAGTTTGACACTCAGATCCCCAGCTTACTTGGTACAGTGTCTCAATGCCCTTTTTCTGTCTTTCTTGCAGCAAGCCTGTGCTTGGTTACTATAAACCTGATGTTCTTGACATTATCCTTGAGAGTACAGTTGGACCCAACAGGAAAAAGGTTTGAAAGCTCTTTGATTTTCCCTTCTCTGCTCCCTTGCTGACTACAGTCTGGGTTTGGCTGAGTATAAGGAGTCAGAGCTGCAGCCAGTGGAGGGAAGCTGTTTCTCTTGGTAGGTGTTGATGGCCTGGGGTGAGAATGCGTATCCAGACAATTTTAAGGCTTTCCCAGCAGATTCCGTAAGGTAATCCAGGCTGTTTTGTTTTCTCTCCATCAAGTTTCTGAGCTAGTTGTCAGGTGAATTTAAAAACCATGTGATTCCTCTGAAATAGCCTGTAAAATGTGGCTTTGCATTGACTTGGTTCACACATACCTTGGGACTTCCAGAGGCACCTTGTACATTTTATGGCTGTGTCCTGTGGGTATACCTTGTAAATATCAACTGGAAAGGCAGCAAAAGCACAGGAAGAGAGAGACTTCAAAGGGACCAGACTGCCAAGGGCAGTCAGGGGACCCAGGCCAGAGCAGGAGGAGCTAGACCTCAGGTTCAGAATGGCAGGCATGCCATCCTACTGTTAAAGTCTGGGTTCCTCTGGTCTCTCAAATCCTGCCTGGGACCCCTTTTTCCACATAGCCAGGTGTGTTGTATGCACAGGAAGGCATAGAGCTGGGCAGGGCTATTTCACCTCTCTTCTCACAAGTTTACAGATTCCTGGAGCTGTTAATGCTCTGTGTACTCCAGAATAATCTCTGTCTTTTCTCTGCCAGATTATGATTGTTGAGAGTGGTTCTGGAGCAGTTCAGTGGGAGCTGGAGCTGAATTCAAGAGCAGGAAGTCCCAGGCCAGCCACCCTCCCTACTGCAAATCATCGTTCCACCTTCTTCTTCTGGGGGGAGTACCAGGCAGAGGCCAATGAGATGGTGAGGGCGGGCAAGCAGTGATAGCATTTACCTACAACCAGAAGTTACAAAATCCCCAGTCTCTTATTTTCAAATCTGCTCTTCGCACATTCTAAGGCCTGTGGTGGAAGTACTCTGTCATGTGCATACATGGAGGGACACATCCCTCCAGTCTTTTCTGCCAGAGAGATTGCCACTAATTCAGGGCTTTGCTCATGCTCAGACCCTGTGGTGCATCAATGGGTTCCCTGTCTGAATATGTGCCAACCTATGAGAAAATAGTCTGTGCTGGAGCTGCCAGTGCAGAATTTGATTTGACTATTCACTGTAGAACTTGTTCTGAGGATGTGGAGTCTCTTAGGTGATCAGTCAAGTTCGAACTGTCCCTCACTGTCTTGGAGCAATCTCTCTGCCACTGAACAACACCCTCAGTAGAAAAAAGTAACTAGCACAGCAGAACAAGTGGGGCAAAAAGGGCTGTGCCCATATCAGACCTGCACTGAATGAGGTGTGCCTGATGCAGGCAGGCACTCTAGGTGTGTCCCCCATAACCATCCCAGTCCATACATCTTTTCAGATCTCCCCTCTGTAACAGCTATGTGTTCCCTGCACATGGGAGAACCAGCTTGGAGAAGTCAGGAACTGTACAATAAACAAATTGTAACTGGATGGCTACACAGCAATAAATCAATTTGAGCCCTGGTTTTGATGGCACTAGAGTTCAACTGAGTTAGATAGGTAGTGACCCCAGTCATATCCAGTGTCATTGGTACCAGGGCTGGAACTGATTTACTGCTATGAGCACACTCCCTCCCCATTGGACTCCTGGCACGAACTAGCAGGGATGAGCCAAATCTGGTGTGTTTCCTGGCTGCCAGGACAGCATTTCAGGAGAATGGAAGCAGGGTTGCATACAAGTGGGTGAGACTGAAGTGCTCTATCACAGACCGTCTTCTGTTTGTTGCAGCGATCCCGAGTGCCCTTCCAGAACCTGTATCTGTTTCATCCCTCTTACCCTAACGCCCTCTTGGAGCTGGCCAACAGCACAGAGCAGATAGTTGTCTTTGACGGTAAGTGTGGCTTTTCAAGAAGCCAAGCTCCCCCAGCTATTTGGCCCTTTACTCTTATAGAGCTTTAGAGTTGGCTCTGAAACTGGGTGTGGAGGCAGAGCTCTGACAGTCGCTCCCTGCCCATCCAAGGAGCTGTGCCTCTGTTCTCTGTTCCAGCTGTGCTGTTTGAGCGGAGCCGGCATGCCTGCTACGTGCTGCTGACAGGCCCTCAGAGCAGTGAGGAGCCAGGCGTGGTGTCTGTCATGAAACGGAAACTGAAAGAGGACATCAATGACAGTAAGGTGATGTGGCTAGGCCAGGTGTCAGGAGACAGCGAGCAGTACATCAAGGACCGCCTCTACAGGATGCGCTTCCAGAGCCAAATCTGAACTCACTGAAATGGACCCAGGAGAGGCTGCCCCAGCACAGTCTCTTCTGAGCCACCTGTCATTTGCAACAGTGGACTCGATAAACCCAGAACGTAGATTCAAATAAAGCCACCATTCTTGATCCACAAGCTAAAGTGTGGCTGGCCAGAAAACAGTGGCAGCAAAAAAATCTGGGCATCTAAACACATATGAGTGGCTGCCAGCACAGCCAACCTCTGAGTCAGTGGGGCTACAGTCCTTAGTTGTCACTTCAGGAAAACAGGGCTCT